TTACCCCGGTACAAATCATTAGTAATACCTCATCTGGAATATGCAGTTCAGTTTTGGGCACCAATTCACAAAAAGAACATTGGGGAACTGGAGAAAGTACAGAGAAGGGCAACTAAACTGATACGAGGCATGGAGGAGATCAGCTATGAGGAAAGATTAGAGGAACTGAATTTATTCTCTTAAAGAGGAGATTAAGGGGGGATATGATCTCCATGTATAATACATAAGGGGGGATATGATCTCCATGTATAATACATAAGGGGGGATATGATCTCCATGTATAATACATAAGGGGGGATCTCCATATGGGGGGATCTCCATGTATAATACATAAGGGGGGATATGATCACCATGTATAATACATAAGGGGGGGAGATATGATCTCCATGTATAATACATAAGGGGGGAGATATGATCTCCATGTATAATACATAAGGGGGGGAGATATGATCTCCATGTATAATACATAAGGGGGGGAGATATGATCTCCATGTATAATACATAAGGGGGGGAGATATGATCTCCATGTATAATACATAAGGGGGGGAGATATGATCTCCATGTATAATACATAAGGGGGGGATATGATCTCCATGTATAATACATAAGGGGGGGAGATATGATCTCCATGTATAATACATAAGGGGGAGATATGATCTCCATGTATAATACATAAGGGGGATATGATCTCCATGTATAATACATAAGGGGGATATGATCTCCATGTATAATACATAAGGGGGATATGATCACCATGTATAATACATAAGGGGGGGGATATGATCTCCATGTATAATACATAAGGGGGGGATATGATCTCCATGTATAATACATAAGGGGGGATATGATCTCCATGTATAATACATAAGGGGGGGATATGAGCTCCATGTATAATACATAAGGGGGGGGATATGATCTCCATGTATAATACATAAGGGGGGGAGATATGATCTCCATGTATAATACATAAGGGGGGGAGATATGATCTCCATGTATAATACATAAGGGGGGATATGATCACCATGTATAATACATAAGGGGGATATGATCACCATGTATAATACATAAGGGGGATATGATCACCATGTATAATACATAAGGGGGGATATGATCACCATGTATAATACATAAGGGGGGAGAGATCTCCATGTATAATACATAAGGGGATATGATCTCCATGTATAATACATAAGGGGGGATGATATGATCTCCATGTATAATACATAAGGGGGGATATGATCTCCATGTATAATACATAAGGGGGGATATGATCTCCATGTATAATACATAAGGGGGGATATGATCTCCATGTATAATACATAAGGGGGGATATGATCTCCATGTATAATACATAAGGGGGGATATGATCTCCATGTATAATACATAAGGGGGGATATGATCTCCATGTATAATACATAAGGGGGGATATGATCTCCATGTATAATACATAAGGGGGGATATGATCTCCATGTATAATACATAAGGGGGGGATATGATCTCCATGTATAATACATAAGGGGGGGATATGATCACCATGTATAATGCATAAGGGGGGGATATGATCACCATGTATAATGCATAAGGGGGGATATGATCTCCATGTATAATACATAAGGGGGATATGATCTCCATGTATAAAGCATAAGGGGGATATGATCTCCATGTATAATACATAAGGGGGATATGATCTCCATGTATAATACATAAGGGGGGATATGATCTCATGTATAATACATAAGGGGGGATATGATCTCCATGTATAATACATAAGGGGGGATATGATCTCCATGTATAATACATAAGGGGGGATATGATCTCCATGTATAATACATAAGGGGGGATATGATCTCCATGTATAATACATAAGGGGGGATATTTTTTTTTCAGCCTAACTAACTATATGCAGTAAAGAATGCTTGTTATACTCACCGTGGAACCTAAGGGGTTAATCCTCTGCGGTGTGTAAAAATGCTGTTTGATCCTGTCTTCTGATTCTCCCCTTAGTGTTCCCCCTGTTACATCCTGATAAGACATATCGTGTGAAGACACTCTGCACATGCTCAGTTTGGTGTGTATTGCTAGAGGTTTTTTTTTCTTGGGACAGTACATGAAATTAGCACAGGGCCAATCAGCATTGTCCAGAGGTCAGGGGTTCTGCATGCCACTAAAGAAGAAAGTAAGCTCCTACAAGCTTAAGCCAGTGCTCTACTGGACACTGATAGAAGTCAAGACTGCTATATACTGCTGATGAGAAGGTATTTAGCAGTTTATATTTACTAAAATAATTGCATTTCCATATTCTGTGTACTGTGGGAGACCAGATATAGTGAATGTGGAGTCCAGTGTGTTTAGTAACACTTTAATACCCCAAAAAAACTTAAAAGCAGATACCCACTCTACCACTTCTCTGGTGTAGACTGGAACCATGTCAGTCTTGGTCTTCCTAAAAACCATTAACTCCTTGGTCTCCCCAATGTTTAGGGACACATTGTTTGCCCCACACAACAAGCATCTAAACTACCTGGTGAAGCTGTTTTGATGCATTTTTAACACCAATCCCTCAAAGAACTTCATTATTACCGGGGTGAGCACAATTGGCCTATGGTCCTTCAAACTATCTGTTTGCTACTTTTGGTTTGGGAGTAATAGTAGATTTTTAAGCAGGTTGGAATCACAACCAATGATGATGATTAGTTAAGACCCCTGCAAGGTGGTTGGCTCAAGAAAATTGTATAATGTATGGCCAGCCTAATGCTGGTGCACTCAGAATCTGGTGCAGCTGTGCATGGTAGTCAATCAGCTTCTTACCTCTGCTTGCTCAATTAGGATTTGTCAGTAAAACCTGGAAACTGATTAGGTATTTATGCAGAAGTGAACTTGATTTTGCACTCTCTAGCTTTAGTAAATACACCCCGGTATGTGTAGATGTCCACTCTGCTTCATTACTCTACCTTGTGTTTTTACCCTCCCTCATCCTCCCATTACCCCACACTGATTCTACCTATTGCATCATTATATTCTTCATATGACCACCCCCTCCACCCCAGGGCATTGCCACCACCTCTACTGCAGGTTTGACCCTCTTCTTCCTTTCAGCACAGAGTATTGTCCCCCCCCCCCCCCCCAGCGCAGGGCATTGCTCTATCTTCCCAGTGGAGGGAATTGCCCCTCCTGCAGCAACCATTCCTTACCATTCTCCCAGAATTTTCAAATTGCCAGAAACATCACAGGAGGGGCAGAGACAACACTGCAATAGGTTGATTTTTGTATTTTGTATATTTGTGCATACTTAGATTTATATACAATTTTGATTAAAAAAAAAAAACTCCAGCTAAAATCTTAGCACACACTGATGGGGATCCTACGGTTTTCCACTCTATAGAAAGCAAACCTTTTTAATTTTGTACATATATTATCCATGTAAAATATAACCATTTATGATAATAGGGGCAGATCCGGGGAAATTATTTGTCTGTATTATAAATAGGCCATAAGGATTGGTTACCTGACCCGTAATAGATTTGTGTGAATTTGCTGTGCCGGCCTACGCCTCCAATGTCTTCTCACTCTTTGCAGGTCCTAAAAGATCCACTAAAGCCGCAGGCTAAGGGCAACTACTGGATGGTGGATGTGAGCCAAATTCCTGAGGATGCCATGAAGCTGCAGAAAACGGGAGGCACCCGGCAAGAAGGCTACCCTCCTGACCTGGCTCCTTGTATCCTGCATGGACAGCCCTACAGATCTGTAGACTTTCACCACCCCCATCTTTCAAAAGACAATACTGTGGTCGGATCAGATGCAGAGGCTGGTCCCTCAGTACAAACCCAACCCCCAAATATAGATCCTGCCGCAACCTTCCCAAACATCTTATGGAACCTTCCAAAGTCATATTCAAAATGCATGGCCCCTAATGTGGTGTCCCCTCCCAGCATTCACCCTCTCCTTTACTCCAACTTCCCCTCTTCCTCTGTGACTACATGCCTACCCCATACTCAAGCTCCACCTGAGCGGAGGGATATTTACACTCCCAGTCTGATGCCTCCCCTGCCCAGACCCTCTGAAGCCAGAACCAGAATATCCTCTTCAGATTTCCCTCCCAATAATACGGTCTTTGACATCCCAGTGTATCCACACCACGGGGGGGGGGGGGGTACATACTCAAAACATCTATGGGCCAAAATTTTCTCAGGGTGGGGTGTACCCAGGGTACAGACCCAATGGTTACTGATTGGCCAGTTGTTGAGACAAGGCTGGTTTTGGGCTAGTCACTTTTGCCTCAAGGACTAGCTGCACTTCAAGTCTTACCCAATGATGTTGGCACCCAATGTGGCACATGGCCAGCGGAGGTGGCAACAAACATGACCTACAGTCCAAAGGCATTTGTCAACTATGTATATATCAGTCATTTTCTATCTTGTCTGTTTCTTTTTACTTCAAATAAAATTGAATTTGTTTTTTAATCTCAAGTGATGTAAAAGCTTTGTTATTTAAAAAAAAAAAAAAAAATGTCATACTTACCTTCTCTGTGCAGTGGTTTTGCACAAGCAACCCGGATCCTCTTCTTCTCGGTCCCCTGCCAGTGATCATGGCTCTTCCCCCTTGACCAGTTCCCCCAATAGTAAGCCTCTTGCTATGGGGGCACTGGTGCATGCTCACTCCTGAGCCCCACTCTGTGGATTCATAACATAGAGCTGCGGCTCGGTCCCGCCCCTGAGTCACTTTGTTCTCACCTTTTTCTTTTCTGAACCTCCTGCCAGATGGTTTCCAGATTTCGAAGTTTATATTTACTAAAATAATTGCATTTCCATGTTGTGTACTATGTGAGAGCAGATATAGTGATCTGGGGTCCAGGGAGAGTCAGATGCATATAGTGAATGCAGGGTCCAGGGAGAGAGGTGAATGCAGGGTCTGGGGAGATATGCAGGGTCTGGGGAGAGTGCATATAGTAGGGTCTGGGTGCCGGGAGAGCTGGGGATGTAGTGAATGCAGGGTCCAGGGAGAGCAGGGTCTGGGGAGAGTGCATATAGTGAATGCAGGGTCCAGGGAGAGAGCGGCATGTAGTGAATGCAGGGTCTAGTGCAGGGTCTGGGGAGAGTGCATATATAGTGAATGCAGGGTCCAGGGGAGAGCGGATATAGTGAATGCAGGGTCTGGGGGAGAGCGGATATAGTGAATGCAGGGTCCGGGGAGAGCAGATATAGTGAATGCAGGGTCTGAATGCAGGGCAGGGTCCGGGGAGAGCGGATGTAGTGAATGCGGGGGGTCCGGGGAGAGCGGATGTAGTGAATGCGGGGTCCGGGGAGAGCGGATGTAGTGAATGCGGTCCGGGGAGACCGGATGTAGTGAATGCGGGGTCCGGGGAGAGCGGATGTAGTGAATGCGGGGTCCGGGGAGAGCCGGATGTAGTGAATGCGGGGTCCGGGGAGAGCGGATGTAGTGAATGCGGGGTCCGGGGGGACCGGATGTAGTGAATGCGGGGTCCGGGGAGACGGATGTAGTGAATGCGGGGTCCGGGGTTTAGTGAATGCAGGGTTTAGTAAAACTTTAATACCTAAACACTTAAACGCAGATACCGGCTCTACCACTTCTCCTCTGGTGTAGAATGGATCCATGTCAGTCTTGGTCTTCCTAAAATCAGTTATTAACTCCTTGGTCTCCCCAATGTTTAGGGACAAATTGTTTGCCCCACACCACAAGGGTCACCTGGTGACAAAACTACCTGGTGAGGCTGTTTTGATACGTTTTTAACACCAATCCCTCAAAACTTCATTATTACCGGGGTGAGCACAATTGGCCTATGGTCCTTCATACTATCTGTTTGCTACTTTTGGTATGGGAGTAATAATAGTAGATTTTAAGCAGGTTGGAGCCACAGCCAATAATAATGATCAGTTAAATATTAAAGACCCCTGCAAGGTGGTTGGCTCAGGTCTTAACAGCCCTCCCTTGGACCCCATCTGGGCCCACCGATTGACAGATTTAAATGCCTGACACACATCGTGTTCCTGTACCACAGGTGCGGAATCACCCATGCGCGAGCTCAAAAAAAGCTTGTTTGCCTGGGGTACTGCATCCTCGAAGTGTGAGAAAAAGCTGTTGAATTCCTCAGCCCGTTGGATATTATAAAATGTGCACCCTGGTGAGTGTTCTCTCTGTGGTTTAGGATATCCTGTATCCCTCTCCAACCTTCCCGTACATCATTCCCTCTGCAGTATTCTGCAATTTTATTTTTATAAACTAATTTGGCCTCTTTTATGCCCCTCTTTAGGTTTGCTCTAGCAACACTATACTTCACCGTATCCCCATTCCTAAAGGCACCATCCCGTTCTCTCAAAAGACAATGTACTCTCTTGGTCATCCAGGGCTTCTGATTAGGAAAAACCTTGATATGCCTCCCAACCAGGGGTGTATTTACCACAAGGCACTTGCATAGGGTGGCATTTTTCAAGGGGGCAGCAAGCACCCCCCCCCCCAAAGAAAGGATGAAAGAAAAGATGGACAACGTGCCCTGTGGGAACCCGAGAGACTGCTTGATGTGTGTAGAGCTTAACTTTTGTTCCCGGGGATGTCCAGAGCTGTGAAGATGAGTGTCTCTCTACTACTGTTTTTTTTTTTTTTTTTTTTTTTTTGAAAAAACTGGCGTGGGGTTCCCCCTCCCATCCATACCAAGCCCTTTGGTGCTGCTATGGATTTTGAAGGCAACCCCCACACCAAAATGTAAAAAAAAAAAAAAATAAAAGGCATGGGGGGGTTCCCCCTCCCATCCCCCCTAAAATCCATACTAGACCCTTATCTGAGCATGCAGGCAGGTCAGGAAAGGGGTGTACGAGCAAGCACCCCCGCCTGAACCATACCAGATACATGCCCTCAACATGGGGGGTACTTTGGGGCATGGGGGGGCTCCCCTTCCCCAAAAAACCTTGTCCCCATGTTGATGGGGAAAAGGGTTTCCTTCCCACAACTCTTAGCTGTGGTTGTGGGGGGCTTATTAGAATCTTGAACCCCCTTTAAAAAGGGGGCCCCCAGATCCCTCCCCCCCCATGTGAATGAGTATGTGGTACATGGTACTGTTGGTATGGTCAGGTGCATTGCTTTGACCAATCACAATGCACTGTCAGGGCGCAGTGCATCGTGGGGCATGGCAGGCGAACAGCCTACCGAACACCTGTACTGTTTGTGTGCTCAGCCAACACACAAATGGCCCGTGTTGAAGTCGAACTTAGGTTCAACTAGAACATACAGCCCAACACTATTTAGGCCATGTTTAAAAATTTCCCATTTGGTCCTCTCAAAGCAGTCCTGTAACTGCTCGAGAGCCATCTGACCAAATCCTTGTCTCCTTGCTTTCTGGAACAATTCTCTGCCTGATTGGGCTGTACAGTGGAATGAGAGAGGAATAATAATCTGAGTGGCCAAGATGAGGTAATGGAACAGCTTTGTATGCTTCCCCAACAGAGTATACCATACAACCAATTTATTTGTCCTGGGACTTTAAATGAGGCACAACACACGTCTAACAAATAACTTGTTTCCAACATAAATATCTAATAAATGAATAAACTTCTCATTGCTTACAAAAGGAGGATAATTTATATAATGTATATCCAAATTTCTTTCCATAGTAACTACTTTGAAAATGGGTGTGCAATTCTGATAGCACCCAATCCGCTTCTGGTTTGTCCCCTTGGGTTCTCACGGAGTCATCCTTCCACAGCTCCCAGGTGAGACTCCCCTGGCCATCACCATTTGGAAATACGGTCATATATTTTTTAGCTGATTTGTTAGTATTAGGGACCCTCTGGTGACCCTTGAGATTGGAACTACTTCAAATATTACAAGATATTATTAGGTTGTTATATACTTGATGATTTACCTTGCACATATTATATACTCTGCATCTACTCCTGAAGAAGTGAACTAAGAGTCACGAAACACGGCGAGTTTTTGGATGCAATTTTAATGTCATTCTGTATTGACATCTGGATTGTATACAGTCAATTGTATATCCAATGATGTATGGAATGCATTAATATGGATTTATTATAAATCAGCTTGTTACCATTTTATCCTTTTGTGAGCGATGAGAAGTTTGCTCGTTGGTCGTGTGTGTTGTGCCTCTTTTAAAGTCCCAGGACAAATAAATTGGTTGTTTGGATATATTAAGGGATGGAGGCACATCACTGGGTGCATCAGGTCACATTCTATTTTTGTTATATTAATTTGGGTGGACACCCCAGTCCATAGTGGCCTCTTGCACCATGCAGATGTACAATAATGACATTGCGAGATACTGACCAGAATTTATTGTATTACTACACAGATTATGTAAACTTCCCAGTATGACATTTCTGGTTTGGGATTGATGATGGCCAGGGTCTGCCTCATCCTCCAGATGTGATGCATTGAGGAGACTTTTGACTTTTTTTTTCCGCCCAAGCCTGCTTATACAGGTGGGGTCTGGGCCGCATCGGCACCATGTCTGTGCTTGATGTGTGATGTCAGCGTCATTGCGGCATCATCACACCAATGCGCTTTGTTTCATCTTGCTGCAGCCTTGAGGGGTATGGTACTCACGTCGCCGTTGTGCCTGTGTGGCGGGGGATGCCTCGTTGTTGAACGCTTCCCCTTTTAGACTGTTGGGAGGGACCAGCGCCTAGCCCCTGGGGACAAATGGTGGAAGCAGATGAAGATTTTTTTTTTTTTTTTTTTCTTTGAGGACACTGAGAAGCCACACTTGTTGTTGAGTGCCTCCCCTCTTTGATTGCACACACAATGTTGGGAGGGACAACTGATTAGCCCATCCCCCCCGGGATAAATAGTTGTAGCTTATGGGGGTGGTTTGCCCCATGAGGATACTGAGAAGTAAACACTTTGATGTATAGTGCTTGAGTCATGGTGGGTCATGGTTTGGCTGCTTATATGTTGTTTTTTGCATATGGCCTTGGTGGTCTATTTTTCATTGGCATATTCTTTTATCTTTGGACTGGATTCTGTGATTTGGGTCCTCTTTTCTTTTTTTTCATACCACCAGGTGCAGTACATTTCATAAAGTGATCTTGTTTCCTTTTATTATTGCTAAATTACAGCCAGGGCTGCATTCCATTTTTGTTGTATTGTGACTCAAATATCTATTCAGTATTACAATGACCGCTTCTGATCCATGGTGGTTTATGCTTTTGGCTGCCTACATTTTGTCTTCATTCGGCTCTGGGTACTTGGTGGTCTTTCTTTCTTTATTTCCACATGGGGAGAAAAATATATTTTAAAAATATTCTTCCCATATATATTGACATATTTGAAATACTATAACTTTGGCTTATTTAAAATAAATATAGCAAAAAAATATAATATATACTGTACTGTGTTGAAATGTGTGTGCGAATTGCCATATAAAGAGAAGTGGCGAATAGCAAAAAAAATGACCCCCCATACTCATTCACATGGATGGGGGGGGGTTTTAGGTTGGCAAATATATATGGGGGTTTTTAAAACTGGCCAGCCTTTCAATATACTGTGTCTTTAAAAATACATTTTCTACATTTTTTTGGAATGCATTTACAAAATCCATGCCAAAATGACTTTATGTTAAGCAAAATCTAAAAGGATATATTTTAAAATATTTTTCCCGTTGTAATATATATAAAACGGGAACATTTCCCCCCTGACTGAATGGTTAGACTGCACACGATGTTAGTAGAGAGACAGAGCCTGTCCACTGTAGACACATTTGGATGGACTGAGACAGTGACATATTGTCTTAGCCTGCATTTCGGCTTTGGACCCACGTGTTACCCCCTTGATTGATCTTGCAAGTATTGCATCTTAATCCATAGGACTATATTTTTGGCTTGCACTAAATGATGTGCACTATTTTATCCAAATCTATTCACTTTAACGTCCCCGTTACAACCTACCCATTCTCCTCTCTTCCCCCCCCCTTTTTTTTTTTTTTTCTTTTACCCCTCCTCCCCACTACCTCACTCTATATCTTTTTCTCTAACTATTCTCCTTTCTGACTTTTTCCTCTGTAGGACACTTCAGAATTACACGCCCAGTTCATTGTTCATATATAAACATGTCTATACTTATTGCGGTTTGCATTGCATAATCTCCCATATAGGTGTGACTGATCTCACATGGCTCACACGTCCCCCGCAATGGACTCACATACTATATCATATCTGTCGGGTGCTAGCACTACCCAACACATCAGCTCCCCCCCTTAACTTAGGGGCTCACAAATACATAGGTCGTTAAACACATATGCCCATGGCTTTGATTTATCTATTATACTCTTGGTATATACGGGTTTGCTATATACAATAAGGATATATTTCATACCTGCTGTGTATTCTGGTTTAAACCCATGGCCTGGCGTAACGGATGCTACATGTTGTGTCTGGATCTTCGGGGGCTGTGATCCGTTTTTATTATGTACACATGTATATGCTTTTTGGCTTATAATAAAAAAAAAAAATAATATATTTTGGAAACACATTTCAAAAAATATATACAGTATATTACTGTATGTTG